GAACAAAAGGACAGCAACTTGTCTGTTCCGCTTCCCTCAATTCCCCAGCACTGTTCCCTTCCCCCCAATACCCCAATAAAAATCTTTAAAAAAAAAAAAGGAATGGTATCCTGGTGGATGGGTAAGTAGGGGCCCCAGGAGGGAAGAGTAGCAAGTTCTAGTTTGGCACACTGACAGACATTCATTCATGTCAAATGTCCAACATGGAACTCAAGAGCAAGGCCTGAGTTGGGGATAAAATTTTGGGACTCCCCAGCATAAAAATGGTCATTACATACATGTGAGTGGATGGGCTGCCCCCAACAGCTGTGGTGAGTGAGATGAGCACAGAGGGGAGAACCCAAGAGGAAACAGAAGGAAGAGCCTACCAGAGACAGAGCGAATAAGGGGTAGGGAGGCTGGACCTGAACCCAGGACCAGGTTGGGTTCCAGATCTTTCCATGGTTCCAAAAAGGAGCAGAATTAAACCATCTGTTGTTTCACGTTGAAAAAGAAAAAAGAAAAAGAAAAGGCAAGGAGTGACATTTTTTACCTAAAACGAGTAGCCAAGGACTGGAGAGAAAAGTAGACTAACTTTTGGAGTTTGAGTTCCAGTTCTTTTACTCCAGAGCAATGCCCTGTTCACTCTGAAACTCAGTTTCCCCAGCTGGGAAATGGGAGTGATCCACAGGCATCCCAGTTCTTCTCCCGGGAGGTGAATAATGCCGTGTGTGTGTGTGTGTGTGTGTGTGTGTGTGTGTGTGAGTCCCCAAGATATCTGGGGGGGACTTTGAAGAGAGCCAGATTGTGGGCAGTCTGGTTGGCTTTCTGCCTGCTCACTCAGGTTGTGTTAAAACGTGCACCCCAGTAGAGCTTCCTCTGGCCTCCCCCTACAAGAGAACCCACTGTCTCTCAGGTGCCGTCTTCATCTCCCCAGAAGTGTGGGTGGGACAGAAAAGCCGCAGGAAGCCCCGTCACTGTGGCCCTGACCTACGCGCGTGGGTCAGCCTTTCAGTCAACATCCCCCCAAAAGCCAGATGCTATCCTGGCGTTCAGCTGGTCCTCCTGCCTGGTTATGGTCACTTGGGGGGACAAAAACCCAGGGACATTCACTTCCCAAGAAGCCCAGGATGAGACACCCGAGGACCGGGAGGGGCAGCCAGCCAGTTCTGCATGGCTCCAAGACCGAGCTAGGAACAGTGAGGGCACGTGGCATGAAGGCAGATCTCAGCTTGAACAACCTCAGAATTTACTGAAAATGACCCCCCCCCCCCCCAGGACTCGGGCTGCTCAGGAGATAGCGAGCTCCCTGCCGCTACCGGGATTCTTTCTGGCATTGGACTACCTGATCTCCAAGTTCTCCATTTCCTTCTAGAGATGGCCTCCTTGGGCAGAGCAAGACCTGATCTGTGACCTGCGAAGGCTCAGTTGTCAGGATAAAGGTGTGTTCTGGATGGGATCCCCACTCCTCCCACAAGATTCCCAGGCACACCCGACCAAGAAGGATGCACAAACTCAACTGCGTGTAGATAACAGCCGGTCTCTCCACCAGGGGGCGCCAAAGCCTTACATTCATTTATTCAACAACTTAAGTGATTCCTAGGGCTGGTATTTGTCCTACCCAGGGAAGATACAGCTTTAATTAAAAAAATCCCTCCCTCTTGGGATTCACATTCCAGTTCGTTGAAGGAGGGAGAAGAGACAAGCAGATAATAATTAAGATAAGCAAAATATAGAATAATGTAAGCGGTGGTGAATGGTATGGAGAAAATTCAGCAGGTAAGAATCAAACTGATTGCATTTCTTCCCCATATTTAGGGATAGAAGATACCTAGGGTGGAATACATAGATCCATATACTTTTTTTTTTAAGATTTTTTTTTTATTGGGGAATTGGGGGAGGGAAACAGTGTTGGGGAATTGGGGAAGGGGAATAGTCAAGCTGTTGTCCTTCAATCTTAGTTGTGGAGGGCGCAGCTAGCTCAGCTCCAAGTCCAGTCGCCATCCAGCTGCCCGCCAGCAGCTCAGGGCAGCTCAGCTCGAGGTGCCGTGTTCAACCTTAGTTGAGGGTGGGCATAGCCCACCATCCCATGCGGGAGTCCGACCGGCAACCTCATTGTTAGGAGCACGTGCTGTCACCAGCTGAGCCATCCTGCCACCTGTTAGCAGCTCAGCGTGGGTGCAGCTCACTGGCTCATGTGGGAATCGAACTGGTGGCCCTGTTGCGCAGAGCTCACGCTCTTAACCAACTGAGCCACTCGGCCAGCCCCAAGCCATATACTTTTGACAGATATTTGTCTCCAAAAGACATACAATAAAATCCCGCCACCATACCTACCTCCTTGGGGACTGTTCCATGGGCCACTGGGATGTCATGTTGGGTTGAGAGGCATAGAAAGGGGCCCCACTTCTGTCCTGCCCATACTGACTTGTGGAAAGGGGTTTTTGTTTCGTTTTGTTTTTAATGATATTCTCTTCATTTAGCAGCATCAAAAAGCTATCTCCATGGGCCAGCTGAGTGGCTCAAGTTGGTTAAGAGCTCGCTCAAGAGTTTGAACTCTGAGCAACAGGGTCACCGGTTCGATTCCCGGCCTGAGCTGAGCTGCCGCTGAGCTGCCAACAGGTAGCAGGATGGCTCAGCTAAAAAAAAAAAAAAAAGCTATCTCCACAAATCCCTAGATGTCTTCTGTCATATTACTATTCCCTCCAGCCACTTTGGCTAACCATTTGTTTTATTATATTTTTTGCTTTTGTTCATTTGAGTAATATAAAACAGCCTCTCCAAAAGCACTTTATCTCTCTTGCTCTCTCTCTCTCTCTCTCTCTCTCTCTCTCTCTCTCTTTATCTCTCTCTCTCTCTCTTTGGCTTGCTATCTGGTTTCCTTCATTTATTGCCCAACTCACTGGTACCTTCTGTTCCCTGATTAATATTCACAAGGGTAGTTCTTTTCTCCTTTGGATCTACCCAGCTTTCCTCACTGAGACAATTGCCCACTGTTGGGCAGGTTATGCGCAGAAACAGTGCATCCTCCTTTTGCAAGTTCTTCAGTGATTTCCAATCTGGTGATTTGAAGGCCATTCCGTGAATTTCTTATTTAAGGTAATGTCTTTTTCAGTTAAAGATTCTCAACTAAAAAAAAATAATAATTTATATTTCTTTGCTAAATGTTTTTATTTTGTTCATTATGAGCATATTTTACTTTAGTTCCTGAGCATAGTTATTAAAGGCATAGCATAATTAGTATATTCCTTTTCTACTAATTCCCAGAGAAGGGTCATTAGTATTCTCTATTGATGTCCTTTTTCTCTTGAAAATGGGTCATGTTTTCCTGTTTCTTTGTGTGTCTAGTAATTTTGGATTTTATGCTGAACATTGTCTATAACATTGTAAAGATTCTGGATTTTGTTCTGTTTTTCTGAAGTGCAGTTATTTTGTTGGTTTGTTTGCTTGCTTGTTTTAACTTGGCCATATACAAACTCCAAACTCTGTCTGGAAACAGCCACTCTTCTGTTCATTTAGCCTGAGGCTGAAAGGATTCTGTGTAGGTGGAGGATCGGTCATAAATTTGGGCAAAATGTACACAGAGAATTTTAGGATCCCGTTCTCTGGCTCTCTCTTTCTTGAATTTTCCCCATAAAACTGGGAAACTCACTCAGTGCTGTTCATCTTCTCCAAAACTAGACTCCCTTCATTTCCTGACAGCTTTTGATCGCTCGCTAGTACATTCTGGGATTGTTTTTTATATTTTGTCCAGGGTTTATGGTTGGTATCTCTTAGAAAGTTGGTCCTATGGGAGATACTACTCTATTACTTGAAGTGAAAGTTCTGTATTTGTATCCTGCTTGTGAATGATTTGATTAATCTCTGCCACCCACCTATACGAATTGTATGTATACTTTAATTCCACTCAAAACATTAATGGCCCACTCCCCCCTACCCCCTGCAGATGCTATTTTGTGATAATATGTGTTAGGAGTTCCCGGGACAGGAGAGCATTTTGCATTGTAACCCATACACAAGCTCTAAGCTCAGCTTTGCTCTGCTTCAGGGTGTTTGCACATGGAGTTAGGGCAAGTTGACTCCCAAAATCAAAATGAAGGATGATTAGCAAAAAAAAAAAAACCCTCTGGGTTGTTTGAATTGGAAGCTATCCCCAAGACCAACCTGCACTGGTGAATAAACATGGTGACCAAAAGCCACTTGGCTCTTTGACAGGCAGGTGGACCTTGATTCAAATGATGTTTCTGGGCCGGCCGAACGGCGCGATGGTTAAGAGCGGGCTTGGGACGCCAGAGGGCCCCGGTTCGGATCCCACATATGAGGGCCAGTGACACTGCCCTCCACACAACTAGACTGAAGAACAAAAGGATAGCAACTTGTCTGTTCCCCTTCCCCCAATTTCCAGTGCTGTTCCCATCCCCCCAATTCCCCAATAAAAATTTTTTTAAAAATGATGTTTCTGACATTTCCTGGCTGTGTGACGTGGGGCCAGTAGCTTAGAGTCTCTGAGCATCAATAGTCTCATTAGTAAAATGGTGGCAGTGATAGTATCTTCCAGATAATGTTTATATTATATGATGTAATACATGTAAAGGGCTTGTCACAGTGCCTGGAACATAATCAACATTCAATAAATGTAAGTCAATATTTTTTAGTCATGAAAAATGTCTAAGTCTCAATCTGAGTATTCATCTCCATAATGAAAAGAAAAATACCCACCTTGACGCATTAATATATGTATAAATGAGGTTATGTTTATGAAATCCTTCAAGCAAGAGGTCCTTAAGAAGTAATTATTGGGACAGCCAGTTAGCTCAGGTGGCTAGAGTGCAGGCTCATAACACCAAGGTTGTCGGTTTGATTCCCACATGGGCCAGTGAGGTTGCACCCTCCACAACTAGATTGAAAACAATTACTTGACTTGGAGCTGATGGGTCCTGGAAAAACACACCGTTCCCCAGTAAAGTTTAAAAAAATAAAAATGAAAAACCTTAGCAAAACCAGCTTGTGCACAAATTTAATTAATTAATTAATTAATTAATAAAAAAGGAAGTAATTATTTTTTCTCTGTTCCCATTGCCTTTCAATAATAATAATAATAATAATAAAAAGCCGGCCGAGTGGCGGGTTGGTTAGGAGTTGGCTTGGGACGCCAGCTCTGAGCAGCAGGGCCCCGGTTCAGATCCCACATGAGGGCCAGTGAAGCAACATCCTCCACAACTAGACTGAAGAACAAAAAGACAGCAACTTGTCTGTTCCCCTTCCCCCAATTCCCCAGCTCTGTTCCCCTCCCCCAATTCCCCAATAAAATCTTTTAAAAAAAAATAAATAAATAAAATAAAAACAAAAACAATAACAGCTGCCCTCGGGAAAGCACTTTCCATCTTCCCCATAAGCTAGGCATGTAGGGGTGTCTTCCCTACATTCTTTCCGATGGGTCCCCCACAGGACACAAGTCCATGCGGCCCTGGATCTGAAATGATTGGGGAAGGCATTAATGAGTTCTTCACTTGGCAAAAGATAAAACCACATCAAGATTTTGTAGCGTCCTCAATTTCAGAGGCAAAGAATTTTCTTTTCTCTCCCAGGGCGGATATTGACCAGGTAATGTTAGTCAGTGGAAGTGAAACAGACATATGATGTCAGAGGGGTAGTAGAATGGGGGAGGGGGATAACTACTTCGTGAGGGGTCTAAATGTCTAACTATTACATTGTGTTGTATACCTGAAACTAATAAAAAGAATAAAACAAAAAAAAACCGATAACACAGAAAAAAAACAACCACCAGTGGGAGGCCCTCCCATCCAGTACCCAGTTCCCCAGGACCAGAAGGGCCTCGGTTGAGCAACTCATATCTGTTCCTTTGATGGAAGCAGCCAGGAATCAGAGCTGGAGAAGGGTGCCAGGTGGGCGAGAAGTAGAATATTGTCCGGAAGCTTGAGCAGAGCAGCCTAAGACTTCAAGTGCTGTGCTTGCCTTCTGTCGCCTCTGGGATGATCTTGAACACGTCAGATAATCGTGTCAGCATCAGTGTCTACAGATATAAAACGTGACCTGCGATACATGTCGCTGCAGAAGCGAAAAGCCTGAGACATCCTCAACACCCCCCTTTCTTCGTTTCCTCTATCCAAACTGTCAGCAAGTCCTCCTAACGGTATCTCACAAAGCATCCCACATCCAGCCGCCTTTCCCGTCTTTATCGCCATCACTGTCGTCCAAGCCGCCACCACGACTTGCTTAGACCACTGCAGTAACCTCCTAAGCGGCAGCCCCACGTCCGTTCTTACCCTTGGGAATCGCTTCTCCACAGAACTGCCAGGGAGGGAGCTCTCTAAAATACAGATCTGACCATTTCTTTTCTGAACGATTTACTTCCCTGTAGTATTTTAGTTCAAAACTAAGTAGCCCAGGAAATTAGTTATTTGGTTGGATCATGTCTCTATCCTCTCAAAATCCTCTCAAAACTCCCCATTGCACTTTATACAGAATCCAAACTCCTTGTTATGGTCAGAAAGGTCCTGCAAGGTCGGTCTCCTGCCTGTGGCGTCTGACCCTACCCTCTCTCTTCCTTCCCTTCACTCGGTACTCTGCCACCCCAGCCTTCGTCTATTCCTTGAAAATGTCAACCTCGAGATGTTCTACTTGCTGTGCCTCCTGCCTGGAATGCCTTTCCCATGGTTTCCCAGCCCTAGTCACACTATTATATTACCTTGTACTCTTTTCTTCTGGGCACATAGTGCCATTTTAAATCCTCTTACCACTTTTTATTGATCTTTAGCTTGTTGTCGTCTGTCTCCCTATCTTGGGAATATAAACTCCTTGGGAGTAGTAACCTTGCCTGACATGTTCAAAGCTATAGCCATACCTAGGGGGTGCTCATTAACTAGGTATTGAATGAATGAATGAATGAACGAGCGAACCATAGGTTTGTTGTAATATTAAGGAGGGTAATGGGTGTACAGTATTCAAGTTGACAGACTTAACTATACAAAATCCCTCAGAGAGCTAAGCTGATGGAGTCTCTGCTGCATTTTGATGTTACCATCTCCACACATGGCTTCCAGGACTCCTGAGTCAGGGGAAGAGAGCACAGGAAACTCATTCCTGCCCCTAAGTGCTCTAGACCAGAGGTGACTTGTGTCACTTCTACCTGGAGTTTGCTGACCAGAACTGGAATTCAATGGCCTCACCCTAATTACAACAGAGGCTTGGCAATGAAAACAAAAACAGTGCATTAAATCTTCGGAGAGTTCTACTGTCTCTACCATATGCCCATTGTTAGAGATGAGAAAACTGAGGCACAGAAGGACAAGAAACCTGCTCGGTGCTGGTAAAAGCCAGACTGAAACCCACGCACCTGCCTTCTTGACCCAACACTGATGTCACCCACACAGGAGCTCCACTGAGATCCAGGGAATATCACATGGACTTTTCTTCCTGGCCCCATTCTCTTCTCAAAAGTGGCTGCTGCTTCTGCTCGAATAACAGGTTTTGTTTTTTGTTTTACTGGGATACTTCTGGTGTTTAATCTTTAGCTTGCTGTGGCCAGTCAGCGAGCCCTGCTTTCTCACCCATTCTTCTCCAACAATTAAAAGCCTTTTCTGAGCTAGAGGTTTTTTTCATGAGTGAATCACCCAGGGAAAGCGAGACCCAGCTCTAGAAGCCAGGCAGGGATGCTCTAGGTGTGTCCAGCGATCTGTGGTGGTGACTCTGAACAGGGGTATCTCTCTGCCTGGTTCAATGAAGGTTGGAGGCAAAAGGTACTGGGGAAGGTGGGCCAGGATACGGGAGCTCCCCCCGACAACACCCCCAAAATGGCTCTAGTAGAAAACTGTCAGTACAAGCCAGTACCTGGGACAATCCAGGCTTATTAGGTACAATAACAATGACAGCTCAGTGTCTACACATTGGGGCCAGGTGCTCAACAGGCTTTACAACATGGAATCCTTTCAGAGGCCCCATGGGGCAAATCTTGTTAACAACCCCAACTCCTCCATTGTTCAGATGAAAAGACCAAGATTCAAATAGGTAAATGATTTGCACATGGGCCATCTCCTAAGTGGCTGAGTCAGAATTTAAGCTCAAGACTTTGGGGGTTC